ATTTTTAATTTTTTAACTCTTTATGTTTCATATTAACCTAAAATTAATAATTATTTATTAAATGTATTATAAATAATAATTAATATAACTTAAAACTAAAACTAATGCAAAGAGATTTTAATATTCTTAATATAAGTGACATTAATATATGTTATAAAAAGAAAAGAAAAAGATAAAATGATATGTAAAAAATTGATAAAAATTATTAATTTTATAATTGAAAAAGATATATGGCGAAAGAGTCAAACAAATTAAAATAGATATTTTTTTTTGTTCCAATTTAAATAGATATTTAGTTAAAGGAAAAAATATATTTGGTTGATAAAAATAAAACATGTAAAATAATTGATTTATTAGAAAATGTATTAAATGTATTTATTAATGAATTTATCATATACTCTCTATAGTTATTATATACTAAAATAACTATTTGTTTTTTTTTTTTACTTTTTATCTAAATTAAGTACTTAAAGATAATTTTTATATTTATCTGCCCTAAAAAGAATAAGAAATGAGTTTTTGTGGTTGGAAGATTAATTAAAGTAATGATAAGGACATAAGAAAAAAATATTTATCTATTTAAAAAAATAAAAAAATAACAATTAATTTTAAAAAATTAAAATAAAAAATACTTAATTTTAATTAAAAAATTATTATAATATTAAATAAATAATATTAAAAACATAAAAACAATATTAAAAAACTAGTTTTATATATGTAGATAGATATACATTATTTAATGATGTTGTAGGAGTAAGTTTTACAAATAGAAAAGTTTTTTTTTGTTCTGGTAAATTTACAAGAAAAAAAAAAGTAAAAATATTTGTAAAATTATTTAAATATATTTAATTAATTCCCTTTAGGTGTTTATTTATTAAGTATATTTTGTTTGCTTCTTATTTAATAATTTTAATTATGCAGTTCAAATTATATAATATTTTTATAAGTTTAGAACCAAAAATTTTATTTTCAAAGGTATAATTTTGCGTAGTACCATGTTAATTAGAAGCAGAAATTAACTTTTAAAACAAGATTGAATATATTTAAGTAATGGCTTCTAAATTAAGCTTAGAATTCAAATTTTTGTTACTTATAATTAAGAAAATCAAATTTTTAATACACTAAGTTAATATAAGATGTGCCAATCATATCACTTTGGGAGAAAATAATCTCATGTTAAGCATCATACCATAAAATCAGAAAAATAAAACTTTAAAGCACTTACTCCCTCTTAATTTCACAAAATGATGGTCTTTACTTTGAAACTTGTTCTAGACCAGATTAATTGTCCATCTTTGTAAATGAATTTTTTTTTCTATTTTAATTTCACTGTTATCCTCTTGACTTTAATTAGTCAATCTATTACAAGTCTGTATTTGGCGAAAATGTTGAAAACTACTGATCGACCAACAAATACTTAGACTTTGTTTAATAATATTTTTGTTGTCTTTTAATTTTTAATTTTCATATTTTTTTAATATTTTA